GAGACTTACTTACAATTTCAACCTATCCCAGGAATGTGACCTTTTAAGAGTCAGTCTAAAATTTCCTGATCCACACTAGTGAGGTCATCTGCATAATAAAAACAAAACCCTATTGTTGCAGTTGCCTTCATCCCAAAAAGGGGTCCTGCCCAGAAACAAACCTTTCTTTTCTTTTGCTAATAAGTTCTTGCCCCACCCTCTCATCTGTAAAAACCTTTTATTATGTACAACTCCTCAGAGCAGCTCTCTACCACTGGATGGGATGCTGCCAGATTCATGAACTGCTACTACTAACTCTGTTTCTCTGGAGAACCTTAATACCCATAAGCATGCACATTCTGTGGAAGTACTTATCAGATAAAAGAGCTATTTAATCATGTATTTAAATGTCTGTGATTTCCCTGCTTTAATCTGATTCATCTTTAGGTATCAGATCAAATACGCCTTTCTCTCTGAATTCTTCCTTGATTTTCTTAGGCATTTAGACACTTGCTGTGCTCTGTTTTCACATGATGGGTTATAATGCTTATCACATCCTATTATGTATCTTGTCATTTCTTGGTCTCCCTCAAGTCAAAAGCTTGATTTCCCTAACCTTAGCTCAGGCCCTAACTGGCTTATAGTAGGTGTTCAATAAATATTTTAAAATAAATAATGCCAATAATATCTTCAACCTTTACAATATGTCAACCACATTCTGATCCCACAAGGTAAGGGGCTATTATTTGCCCCAATGCACAGGTGAAAAGCTAAAAATTAAGCAACTTGTTCAAAATCATACAGCCAGAGCTTTGCGCAGTGGCAGTATTATAGCCAATGAGGTTTACCCAACGCACGATTATTGCTAATTCAAAATTACACAGCCAGTAGGAATCAAGGAAGATTAGACCCGAGGTTTATATGATATCAGTTCGTGAACACTTAACCACAACTTTGCACCCCTTCTCAGCTGACGGAGAACATGAACCAACCAGAAGTGCCAAGCACCAACTGTGTGCCTCTTATTGTGCTAGGCACCAAGGTAATAAAAAAGTTATAAAAATCATTACTTCTGGCTCTCAAAAACAGATGTCCTGTTTAAACAGAGGCAAAGTATATACAAGTAAATTCTCAATCGTGTGTGATGGGTGGAGGGAGAAAATGACTAAAAATCAAATAAATATCCCCTAATGGTCTCTACCAGTTTCATCTAAATTCATGAAGGGAAATGATGAAGTTCAATGATCTGCCATATGATGGTGGTATAAAAACTCTTCTCTCCATAAGCATATTTATTTCTAGCTTCACTAGAATGATGAACTATTTATTCACGAAAATAGCCTGGTAAGAAAATACACTAAACTATGAGCTAGGATTAGCATAGATTTTCAAAGAAACTAATCATGCGCAAAAACATGAGTCTTTTTGTCATACCATTCTAAGATAAGTCGATTGAAGATCCTTGAAGAAGTACTGGATTATATTTCATTTATTCAGACCCAAGTTAGTGCCTCAGGAAAACTTGCGCTCATATTAAGCAAAATTGTTATAGGTGCTGAACGAGTACTGTCTAATATACTGCATACTAACTGAAAGGTCATAAAACAAAGAGTAATCACAAATTGCCTGGCATTTAGATGAAAATGCTCAGACTACAAGGATTTACAAAACAGATATAATGCAAAAGTGATGACTGTGCCAGATTATTTCTATAAACCGAAATGCAGAAAATCATAACTCTCTTATAAATGGGAGGGCCAAGATGTCAAATAAAACAATACTTTGAGAGGTTATCCTCCACCTATCTAGTATTTGTTTTTTTATATAACTATACGCACTACGCACAGAGTATCATTTTCATGATTCATTCAACAAAATAGTTAGTACCCACTCTACGGAAGGCATTAGAAATAGGTAGAAATAGGGGCACCTGGGTGGCTCTGTCGGTTGAGCATCTTTTGATATCAGCTCAGGTCATGATCTCACGGTCATGACATTTAGCCCTCCCTGCATGGGGCTCTGTGCTGAGCGTGGATGCTGCTTGGGATTCTCTCCCCTCTCTCTCTGCCCCTCCCCCACTAGTGCTCTCCCTCTCTCAAAAATAAATAAACTTAAAAAAAAATGTAGGTAGAGACCAAAGACTTTGTCTTGTAGAATGTTACACACATTAAATCATTTAATTAAGAGTATGCCATGGCTATTATAGGCTGACCATGTCCCCTCAAAAGACCTCCTTCCCCCATAAATATGACTTCATCTGGAAATACATTCTTTGTAGATGTGATCAAGGTAAGGTCATTAGAATAGGCTAATTCAATATGATTAGTGACCTTATAAGAAGAGAGACACAAAGACAGATAAAAAGGAAGGTGCTTATGTGAAGATGAAGGCAGAGACTGGAGGTAGGCTGTCAAAAGCTAAAGAATTACTGGGACTATCAGAAGCTAGAAGAAACAAGGAAGGATTCTTCCCAGGATCCCTTTACTGACCCTGAATTTTCAGACTTCTAGACTCTGTAACTGAGAAAAGAAACTTACTGTTTTAAGAGAAAGAGAGAAAGAGAGACAGAGAGAGAGAGAGAGAGAGAGAGGCCAACCAGCTGACATTTCCTTGGTGCTTAATGTGTGTCATGCTTTGAAGTAGGAGCTATTCATAATGTATCTTTTTTTTTAAGTTTCTTTATTTATTTTGAGAGAGAAAGAGTGAACAAGGGAGGGGCAGAGGGAGAGAGAAAATCCCAAGCAAGCTCTGCACTGTCAGTGCAGAGCCCACGGGGGCTAGATCCCACAACCACCCTGAGCCAAATTCACGAGTCGTTTGCTTAACCAGCTGAGCCACTCAGGTGCCCCCATAATTTATCTTATTTAAAGATGGTGTAGTTCTGTACTTCAGAGCCTGGTCTCACATGCCAGCTGTTTGCCCTTGGCCAAGTCAGATAACTTCTCTGTTCCTCAGTTTATTCACAGGGTTGCCGTAAGGATTAAATATGGTAAGACATGTAAAGTGTTCACATTATCACTATCTTGGTCTTCCAACTCTCAGAGGTAGCGGCCAAAAGAGCATATGCCTCAGTATCTGTGAGACCTGAAGTCATATCTTGTTCTACTAGTTTCTATTTTGTGACCTGTGGCTAGTGTAGTCAACAATTTGCACTTCAGTTTCTTCATAATTAAACTGAGGACGATACCTATTTTTCAAGACGGTTTTAAGGATGAAAGGTAATGAACTCAATTTGTCCATCACCATGCCTGGCAAAATAAAAATTCTCATAGAATAGAAGCTGTTATTGTTAAGAAAATTGCATTGCCCTTGGAGCTCACTACTTCAATTTCAAATTCCAATGGTTGTTCAGAAGCTATTTATATTTTAATAAAAAATTCTGATTGCATGTTCATAATCTTTCATGATTAAAAGCATATACATCCATAATCCCACAGCCCACCAAGCTTATATCCCTAAACCCTTGAGCAAGTTTTTCTTCTATATTACCTTTTATTCTGCACTATTTTTAAAGACATACCAGATGTCTGAAGGGTGAAGGGGTCAGTTAAAACTACTGTTCAGTGTCAGACATGGTAAATTACTTATCCTACACAAACATGTTCTTAACATCCAGATGCATTTTGCATAGCTGTTGCTTGCTTAAAAACCAAAGATAAAAAAAATATTTGAGATACTCAGTTTTCTGACTTATATGAGATTAACTTAGAAATACCTATTTTCATGAAAATATTTCATGAAAATATTAACTTGGTTTGGTTTCAGTTTTATAATTCACTTTAAGATCATTTTATTCTATATAAATTCCACCTGTCTTTAATTTAATTAAAAGCAATTAATATTTACTAAGGATTTACTGTGTGCTAGGTCCTGGGAATAAAAATACAAAAATGGTATACCCCTTGCTATCTAAGAATCTGAATCTATTGTCACAGATAAATTGGAGACTTTGATTATCACTAGAGCAGGGTCATTATATATTTGGTACACTCTGTAAAAAGTATTCAAAACTATTAGT